GGGGGGTGGGTGGTGGAGATGAGGGGAGAAATGTGGCATATAGCAATAGGCTACAGCGGAGGGGGGGGGAAGCGCGCTTCTTTAAAGGATAGTATCAGGATTCAGGAGGATCTATAAAAATGGGAACATTGCACAGAAAAATAGGGACAGTGCAAAGTCCTATATTTGTATAGGAAAAATCAAAGGCATATGATGTAGGGAACTGTACTGGACAGAACTAGAAGCAAAAAGCATGTGGATGTCTTGGAGATCACAAGCTGACCAGAAGCTAACAGTGGAAAGAAGAAAAAAGAACAGCAAATACAATCCTAGGTTGTACCATCAGGAGAACAATACTGCATAAGCATCTCATTCTGGGCAACACATTTTAGAAGGATATTAACAAATTGGAGTATGTCCAGAGCAGAGCAACCAAGGTCCTGGGGGTTAGGAAGGAAAAACTTACAAGGAATGTTTGGATGCTCTGGGAACATTTAGCCTGGAAAAGGGAATATTGTTAGCTGTCTTCAAATATATGAAGGGTGTTCGGGTAAAAAACAGGGCAGAATTATTCATAGTTGTTTCTTAAGACAGGACAAGAAACAATAGGCTTAAAGTACAAGGAAGCAGATTTCAGTTGGACATCTGTAAACATTTCCTAATGGTAAGAACTGTTCAGCAGTAGAACAGACTATCTTGAGAAGTGGTGGACTCTCCTTTGCTGAAGAAATTTAAAGAGAGGCTGGATGGCTATCTGTCATCAACACTACAGTTGTGTTTTCCTGCATTGGAGGGGGGTTGGGTTTAGATTTCCCTTCCAACCTTTACATCCCATAATTCTATGCATTTTCTTTGGAATTAAATTTCAATAATGAACTCTGTCTTATGTAGCCTTCTCCCAGTCTTGATTAAATAAAGAGCTAAGCATTACTGTTCAATTACTACTTCTTTACTTTAAAAGCCACCAAAGTTCATTAAGACAAGTGGTTCCTATCTGATACCTGAAGGTTGAGTACTTTCTTTTAGAGGTTGAATAAAATCCTTTTGTCTTTGACAGACCAATCAGGGACAAGACTGCAGCTCAGAGTAATTGGATCAAAAGTGGCATTTCAAATGGAACTCTTTAAAGTAAACAATAAAGATTCAGATATCACATTCCCTCTCTTAGGCAGTCCCTCACCCATTTAAGTTAAAAAACAAAAGAAAATAAAATTGCATACTTGGTTGCAACTGCACAGCATTGTACAATTCAAATTATATCATTCAGATGCAAACCACTGCTCCTAATCCTGACTGTATTATTGCATCTGTGGCATCAGCTTCTACTTCATACATTGTTCAACCAATGGAAGCAGGCCTATCCTATCCTTGTCTATCTGTTGCTTTCAAATTCTAAGAAGCTAACATCGTAATCTGTTAATCTGGATTGTGTTAAACAAAAAAACTTTGGCTTAGATGAAATGTTCTTTTAGAATGATTCTTGGGTGTCATTTCAGTCTTGTCACAACCTCACAATTATTGTGGACCCTTTCCATCAACTTTAGGGCCATGCTATAGTTTTTTTACTATACAGTATTTGAAGAAAGTGGCTACTACCATCATAACTGCCATACACATCCTGTTGTGTTAAATGTAGTTTAGTGATTTAATATAACATGGAATGCCCTCAATAAATGTCAGATGGAACCATAGCAATAAATCCCATTTTTCACTAACCAATACATGAACATGGCAGATACAAAATTATATATTGCCATGGTCAAATAATTTTTTTACTGGAAAATGGTACATATTAAAAAACCATGCCAAGTCAGGAATCACTTTTTCTACATGAAATATTCCTTGGCTCTGGAGAATGTGTGTCTGTATGTAGTGCTCCATGTGGAGAGTCAAGAACATCTGGACAAGCATTATTGGGACTTTAGCAACAATTGTATCAAATTCAATCTACAGTAGTGGGTTCCACTGCAAGGTAATTTTAATTTCACAAGCATTTGTTTTTTATTAACCTTTTTACTGACTCTTTTCATTCTTTGCACACATACCCCTGTTCAGAGGGTTAAATGCTTACTGCATCTGATATATTGGCATGTGCAAAAATAAGTAGATAGGAAACTTCACATATAGGAAACTATTATGATCTGTTGAATGCTATGTGTTCACACTGTTATTGGATGCATCTCTGAAAATATAGAAGTAAGTTACAGCCTTCTGCCTGTGCTTAAGGTTTTCTGAATTGGGTCAAGAAATTAAAAACAAACAATTATACAGTACCTTTTATCTAAGAGTAAATATTAGTAGATAATGGTTTTTCTTTAAAATAATCAAGATTCAATACTTTTTATTCAATCAACAATAAAATAACTAAACTTTATAATTACAGAAAGAAGATCAACAATGCTAAAGTTGAAATTCTTTAACAAAAGCAAGTTTCTATTTTTAAAAAATATACCCCCAGAAAGATAAACAAATTTTGGATTCCTGCAATATTCACAACAATTGTTTCTTGTTAATGTAATTTTTAATACCTTTCATTAAGGCTAAATTAGCATAACCACAAAAATAAAAATAGCATTAGAAAGTTTAATATCACTTTATATATCTGCAGAAGTTTTGAAGAAAATATGTGTATTATACTGCTATACGATTTACAATGGCCTCTTGTTGTAAACTGCAAAACTACATACATATACAAACATGGAAAAGAAGGCTAAAACAGCAAAATACTGGTAGCCAAACATGAATAAGTTAAATTAAAAAAAAAAAAAACTCTCAGGAAGACATTCATCACATGTCAAAAGCCTGATCCCGCAAAATATATTTAACTTATTATTTTCCAATTTAAAAAGGCCCAAATCTACCAAGAGGCAATTTATGCAGGGTTTTCTTTGCCTGCTCTACAGCTTTTTATCTAACAAGGGAGCAGTGAAAAATCTTGTAATGCATTCCAGAATCCAGGCTTTCTACACATACATTTCAAACGTTTCTAAACTGGGTCCCAACCTGTCAGGAATAAACAGACCATTCAACTATTAACCATTCTGGCAATATTTCCAAGCCACTGGAAACCATGGTTTTGTCCCCAGATTCTATCTGTGTAACACTGAAATAACTGAAACCTATCTTCAAGCACCATATGATGGTGTACAGTAGATCCCATTCATTATAATGGGTTTTGTAAAGGAGAATTTCCTGGGTGACAAATACAAAAAATAGAACTTTAAGAATCTGGCTTCCTTCTTCTTGGTCCAATTTAAAACAACAAGGGAAAAGAAAATGAGAAAGAGAGAAAAGAATAAAACCTAGATGATTTACATGCAAATTATTCATCTCTTTTCAAACACTGCCTGTTCAAAAGCCTTCTTTGTTTGGAATGTGGGTACCGCATCTAGTATATGCAAAGCTTCTAAGAACCTTTCCTTGAAAAAAGAAAATAATAATAATAATAATAATAATAATAATAATAATAATAATAATAATAATAATATAATATGATGACATGACAACAACATTGATCCAGACCTGTTTTTTAGCACAGCGTTTCAACTTAATTCCTAGAACTGTAATTTTAGATCAACAACAGAGGAGGATAGAGGATAGACAGATCAATTTCTTTTCTTTTCTCTTTTCTTTTCTTTGCTTTTCCTTTCCTTTCTTTTTATGGGTCCTTTTGTTAAAGCAGGTACAAGGTTTCTTCTGAACGTGGATACCAACAGAATGAGAATGCAATTGCCATCAGCAGAAGAAGTGTGCTTGACCTGATGCTTATGCGAAGAGAAGATGAATGATCAGAAGATATGTGACTAGTGGAGCCTCCTGCCACACTCTCCTTCCCAATTGTATTCTGCAAGACAGAATAACTTCCTTCAATTACCACACTTGTATTAGTACATCCTAGTATATTTTACTGTACCTATCATTTCATTTATTCCCAGATCAGTATTCTGTCAGCCATAAAAATCTAATCTGCTATGTTTAAAGGTCTAAGAGCCATGTGATGACATGCTCTTCCAGATTACTAGCTAATTACACTGCACAGATGAAGGGCAATTATCATGTGACCTGCAAAATCATACTCTGCTTAAGAATTAAAATATAATTATCATGGTTGAAGGTGAATGGCTATTCTGGGCATGGGTATACCCACCCCTCCTCAATATATATCCCTATATACAAATAATTAAAACTATTTCAAATGACTTGAACAGGTATATTTCAAAAATAATTGCTATGAACAATTAGGCCCATAGTCATCTTCACTCTTGTATACAAAACAAAGGGCCACATTTCTTTTATCCCATTGCCTAGACACACACACAACATACATTCATAATTCTTTTTTATCTCTGCCTCCAATGGATCTTCAGTAAATACTGTATTAAACTGCTATTCTTCTATAGGCTACTTTTACTTGTTAGGATACTTAGAGTTGGAAAGAGCTCGCTGTGACCCTTAGAAAAAGGAATAGTTGCTGCACAACATATGCTGTAGTGAATATTTGTTCCGTTTTTCTCCTATACTATCCTCAAATGAAGCAGGTCCAGTTTAGACAATCTCAGTCTAAATGCTACGTTCATCTCCTCCAACTTACAGGGAAAAGCAGAGGCAAAGACCCTAAACACTGCTGAAATCACTATGGTTGCAGGACCTTTCACTACCAAACCAAAGAATGAGGAATAGAATTTACATTCCCAAACTCAGAATGGGAGGTTTCTAATCAAAAGAATGAATTTGTCTGAATATTTTTAGAACAAACGTTCTGATATTATTCAAAGGTAGAGTTGTGTCAGAAACAATTGGTGCAATAAAGTGTAAGAACTTACCCCAGTCACACAGGGTTCTGTTATTACAGATTCATTGAAACTCTGCTTCGGTCCCTGTAGAAAAATGAAAACATTACTACAGACCTCTACTTTGCCTCTAATATTGGTGGAATACATCACTGAGCTGCATTAAAGTTGAGTAAACATTGCATCCCCAAACTATTTATCAGAAATAGCTACACACATATACACACCCAGAGTTACCATAAAGACTGTCTACTCATTGTACCTCTCTGTACAGCCACACAGCCTCCTCTTAATATAATAAATCCAATCAAATATTGGTTACTTCTGCTACTGACTCAGTTGGAAAAATGCTGCAGTTTTCTTTCAACCAATTACTAACATTTGTTTGAACAAAGACATATGGCAATACCCTCTGATTAAATGTACTTTTTAGACATTTTTGCCACAAGTCACAAAGCAAAAAATAACAAAAAATATGAGAAAAATGCATGCTAGCTAATATTCTATATTATTCAATAATTGTGAAAATGGTACAGGTAGATACAGGAGTCTAATGACAAATTTGGTATATGAAGGATGCTTCTCTTGAAAGAAGAAATCCTAACAGCTTCTGAGCTCTTTTTATTCCAATCATATAACTTAAAAGTATTCTTTGGGCTAAGGCAACACCACCATATCTTTGTGCTTTCTGAAACATCACTGTATCAAATCACTATCTGGCCTTCTGTCATTTGCACTGGTAAATAGGCTCTTCTTACATGGCTCCAGTTAATTTTTAGGACAAAAAAGGGAAATATCATAATAGCTGGAGATTCCACAGTGTATCTTTTCTTAGACAGCTAAGCTTATTTTATTCCCCTGCAGTGAATCTCATATTGCAGAACTTCATTTCTGTGATTATTTTATGTTTGGGGCCTTGGGATGGGCTGTTTTTCCATTTGCAGAAATTCTTTCCTGATTCTTCCTTCTACATGAACCTGGAAGTAGAAGATTTTGCCGGTAACCTTATTAACTACTCTGATCTTAATTTACTAAAGGACTTTCTATATTTCCCATTCTTGCTCCAAGATAATCATTAGACCCCTTACTCCCATTGTCCATACATCAGATCTGGCTTTTTCAGTACCCTATTAGGGATGTTTGCATAATACTTAGTTGTTGTTGTTTTGCTACTAGTACAAGTATTTCTAGTCTAGTGTTAACTTGCTATACAATTGCTAAAGGGCCTGATGGTGACATGTTTTCAGTGTTGTGTCTAAAGCATTCGTTTTTAAATCTCTTCGGATTTTTTTAGTTGTTGTTTTGGATATTTTAGTCTTTGATATTTAAACTGTAGTTGTATTTAATTATATTCCATCAGATGATTTGGTTAGAACCTTGCAGAACTAGTTGAATGACAATAAACCAACCAACCAACCAACCAACCAACCAACCAACCAACCAACCAACCAACCAACCAAAAAGCTCGTGTTCTTTTCTTAACAGAATTAAATGACTGCCATGGCATTTAACATCAGATCTTGAAAAAGACTGAAGAATACTGGCATACAAAACAATGGAAGCTGTTAGGAGAAAGGCAAAAAGAAAAACAAATAAAGTAAATAAGAAAACAGTTACTTTTCAATCTAAGACATAACAATGACCTCAGCAAAAGCATAAACTATTTTTTTCCTGAAAATAATGTCACTTAGACAAAGAGAATAAAGACACATCCTAATCTCTTTACTTCCTGAACATTTTCAGGAAGGGGAAAAAGTTAGCTTCTAAACTAAGATGTTACATGCCAAGCTTCAAATTGGAAAAGTGCATTTTACTGCTGACTTACAAAGCTGTATAAAGCACTTATAATGGAAAAGCTGGCAATGACTGTGGTACTAAAATGTAGCAGCCTATCCCTAAATCACAAGTAATGGGGAAAAATATAAAAGACAAAATACAATAACCAGCAATTATATACTAGGGGAAAAATGTCCCCCCCCCCCCAATTATAGGAGATCCTGGACAAAGAGAACCTGAAATAATTCTAGTTTGAGGAAGAATCTCTATGGCCTTTACATATATATTAAGCAAATTCACTCATGTGCTGATTAGAAGACTATGTATATATACATTCATTCACAGCAGATTTTGAAGATAAAGAACTATACAGATATACACACACATACACGGATACACAAGAGCCAAGAGCCAGTGTGGGTAGTGATTAAAATACAGACTAGGAACAGTGAGACTCAGGTTCTAGTCCTTCCTCAGATGCTAGGTGACTTTGGACCAGTCACTCTCTCTCAACCCTAGATTGCAAGTTCAAAAATCATCTATCTACCAACCTGCTCTAGACCAGTCTGGTAGAATACAGTCCATGGCCTTCAATGAAGAAGCTTTCATCTTGCAGTGGATTGATTAGGGCTAACAACAACAACAACAACAATACACATACAAACATAAAGAGAGCAATGGTGGTTGGAGGAGAGACTGAACATCGTAACTTAAATGAAAATAATATTTTTAACATTTATATGTTGATACTGAATTTTATATCCGTATCATTACTTGAAATGGAAGAAATGGGGTGCAGATTTTTTCAAAAAGATTTACTACTAAGATTGGCTGTTGCTATTCCATAGGGCTTTGGGATTTGCTGTGAATGGAGAGCCACCCTATTTTTGGTAATGTATTTCAACTGGGGTTATTCTTCTGGCTCATCATATACTTAAGTTGAAAGAAAACTGAGTTCTGAAGTTGAAGTTTATTTGGAAATTCATAAAATTATTAGAATACAATTGAAACACATAGGCATATTATTTATTAAATAAAGAAGAACCACAAATACAAAATGTGAGAGAATAGGTGAGAATGGTCATTTGAACATCCTTTGTTGTAACCATTCCACACATTTCTGGGCAGCTCCCATAGTGTCAGCTCCGCCAGGCAGACCATACCAGGAAACCAACTCCACAGGAAGCCTAAAACCACTTTTATTGAGACTGGCTATAATTACAGAATCTTGCAAATATGATTTGCTTACCTCCTCCCCTTCTAATACTCCTGTGAATTAGGGAGGTATCTGTCTAAGCCTCTCCCACATATTTTTTTGTCTGTTGTGGGCTTAAGATTAGTAACAGATCTTGTATATCTCAGCCAAGGTTATGTTCCTTATTTTCTTCACATAGCAATGGACTTGCCAGGAATGTTTTAGTTCTATATGAAATTATTATTTTATGTACTGTAAGAAGTGCCCTTAGGAGCATCTTATGACAATGATGTTTTTTGAAGCTCTGGATGTTTGCCACGCACTCTACCAGGGGGAAAAAAAAGCACTTCCTGGTCTTCCAGACTTTCATGCATTTCTGTGTATTCAGTGGTTCTAACTCAAGTGACTGGTCATCTCTGTAGGTGCCTACAGCTCAGCTTGACAAAGAGCCACCACATGTTACGCAGTGACTTAGGGGAGATGGGTGGCCATACAAATAAATAAAATAAAATAATAAAATAAAATAAACCTTGAGTTCTGGCTTTCCAATTGTTTGAACTTCTGCTTTCATCTTTCAGAAGATGATTATGAATTAGTGACAGTAATGGGATAACAGTTTCTGATTAGCCATCACACATACAGTAGGACTGTTTTAAGTTTCAGTAAATTGTAACATTAAGGCAGTAAATATTAGGTTCAAAAGAATACCCCCCCCCCCAAATCCATGCAGGAACAATGAAAAATCGAATCAAGTGTTGGCAAAACTGGTAATTTCCAAAGACCCACTATGATTTGTCTCAAAGCAGCCTTCCTGGTTTGGCATTCTCAAGAGGAAAACTGGGAGATTTAAAGGTTGCCCAGGTTGCTAAAGACTGCCAGTAAATTTATAGATAATCAGTGATTTCTATTTATTTGAGTTGTAGTCTTTCCAAATTTTTACCATAAGCATTAATAAATGGCACAGAGACGCTGCTGAAATAATAGCAGCTTCTCATTGATTGATCAGGATACATTTCCTAAAGTGAAATCTAGTTACAAATCCTCTGAAAGCCATTTTTCCCCATCTTTTAATTAAAAGTTTTTACATTAAAAACAAATTGCTTCCTGGATTGAAAATGGTAATGCTTTACATATAGCCACTATGGTGAATGGATAATTAGTTAAGTATTATGAAACAAAATCAAACAATCGAAGCTTAATTCCCTTAAAACTCTTCAATGCTGTTAGACAATGGAAACAAAGCAATAACTCTGTTAATGCAATTCAGAAAGTGCATTCATTAGGCTTTATCCACATAGCACTGAATTACTACTATACTAGTAGCAAAAAAGGCAGCAAGGTCAGGAATACATAAGGGCCAAAAAACAATAAATACAACATTGCAAACAAATATGCAAACTTGCAGGCCAACTAGCAATCTCAACATGGCCAAGAAATATGCAAGTTTTAACACAGAGGTCTGACACAGAGATTGTTCTGAACTCAGTGTTCAAATGAAACTGATCTTCTAGAAGAATTGCAGAAGCAAGAAGAGTTCAGTAAATTAAGATACTCTATTCCCTTCCTTAAATTGTGAAACCAAACCAGTAATGGAAACAGTAGGTCCTGTTTTTCTTCTTAGATAAATGTTCCCTATAAATGCTTTTGTTTTTTGTTTTTTTTGGGTGGCAAATCTTTGTTTTGGCAAAAGATTTGCTGAATTCAACATCAAAAGGTTTTTTAGAAAGACAATAAGGATTTCATATATATTATTACTGTTGATAAAGGCTGGTATGTATGTATGTACAGTTGTGTGAAAAAGAAAGTACACCCTCTTTCAGTCCTATGCTTTTACATATCAGGACATAATAAAAATCATCTGGTCCTTAGCAGTTCTCAAAAGTAGGTAA